AAGACACTCATCAGTGAGCCAGCCCAAGTTCTCCTACCCAATCCTTCCATCACCACAGTCCAAGTTAAAAGGAACATTCACTTCTTCTTGCTGAAGAAAGAGCTGTACAATGTCCAAACCGATCCACCAATCCTCACATACAAGCAAGCTTGCAGAGAAGAAGCCTCCGAGGGAAAGAAAGCAACCGCTGAAGATGCTACCACAAGTGCAGCTGGTGCTCAAGATGCTGATCTGCCTCCACCTCAAAAACGTTTTGGTGGAAACAGATACCACTTTGATGATTACAACTGGGAGGAACCAGGCACTTCAGGGTTCAAAGCTCAACAAAAGATTGGTATTCTCCAACAATGGTGCAAGTACCAAGACAAAACCATCCACAAGATGGCCAAATGCATCAAGGAGATGAAGAAGAGGATTAAGAAGCTTGAAAACCCTTGAAAAGGTGGGGCTCCAGCACCGGTTTCACCAAGGAACAGAGAGGAAGCTGGAGAGAGTTCCATGAACTGCACAGCCCTGGTTACATATGAAACCACTTGGGTGGATCTTGACGACGGGTCTGATGAGGCCAGCCATCATTCTTGGGAGACACCATCCGGCCACACTTCAAACCCCTCCTACTCATTGGGGTCTGACTTTAACAGCCACTAGGTAACACTCAAAACCTTGTAAATAGCATGTAGTTTTCTTTTTCTTTTGCATTTTACTTGTTTACTTTGTTTTAACTCCTTTCTCATACTTTTATAACACAAGGGACTGTGTTATTTAAGTGTGGGGGAGGAGTTTCATCCTTTACTAATCATGTTTTCTCTTTTCTTATTTTGCACTTTGAGTCTTGAGTCACATTCTAGTTGCATATACATGTAGTCTCATATAAGTGCATATAAAAACCAAAAAAATGGAAAAATCTTGAAAAAACAAAAAAATGATCATGTAGCTGCATTCTCATTTTTAGGATTGAGTCTAGATTGCATATGCATGTAGGTTGCATCTTGCAGGGAGTAATGATAGGTTTTCTAGCGAGTACATCACTTTGAGAACTTGAACTGAATATGCTTGTGAATCTTTTCTGTGCTTGCAAAGTCTGAAATGATCTGAATCTGAGAAGCAAGTTTGAATTGAACTCAACTCTAATTAAGTGAAAACCCTGAACTTGACTTGAAATTATCATTTGGTGCATTGTTTGAATATGCTTGTGGATATACATGTAGTCTCATATAAGTGCATATAAAAACCAAAAAAATGGAAAAATCTTGAAAAAACAAAAAAATGATCATGTAGCTGCATTCTCATTTTTAGGATTGAGTCTAGATTGCATATGCATGTAGGTTGCATCTTGCAGGGAGTAATGATAGGTTTTCTAGCGAGTACATCACTTTGAGAACTTGAACTGAATATGCTTGTGAATCTTTTCTGTGCTTGCAAAGTCTGAAATGATCTGAATCTGAGAAGCAAGTTTGAATTGAACTCAACTCTAATTAAGTGAAAACCCTGAACTTGACTTGAAATTATCATTTGGTGCATTGTTTGAATAAGCTTGTGGATACCAATATACATATTTGAGCTAGAATCCTGTTTTTACCATCCTCTTCCTTAGCTCAAATAGCCGAATCTGCATAATAGATCAGTTTTTCCTCACCCTGAACTCATCCTTCTTTCAAGCCAATTGTTTGTGTGTGATTGAGAGGCCACCTTGGACCAAACTTAGCAGAAAGTGTTAGGTTTAGGGCGACAAGGGCAAGTCTCATTGAGTGCTAAGTTCCATCATCAAGGAGCTGAGAGTTTTGGCAAGAACTAAGTGTGGGGGAATACATGTTGGTGAGTGGAAAAAGGAGAGATGAGTGGAAATGAAAGGAGGATGGTGAGAACTAGGGGATAGAAAAAGAAATCAGTCTTGGAGTTTTGAGTCAAAAGAAGTGAGCTCTAGTGTTTTGAAAAGAAAGAATCTAGCCTCTAAGTGAAAAGAAAAGAAGCCAAAGAGCTCAAATGTTTTTTTAAAAAAAAAAAAAAAGAAAGAAAAAAAGAGGTTAGAGGTTACAAAAGAAAGTGAAAAAGAGCTATGGAAAGTTTGAACTCCAAGACTTGTGTATGAAAAAGAAAAGAGAGTCCCCTAGTGAGAGAAGAATGAGTGTGAAAAGTAAGCAAGTGAGGAAACTTTGAGTAGAGTGTGGGGTGGGATGAGTCTTTGCCCTTGTATGCATAGGTTGCCTTTTACCTTTAGCATTCTGCCAAAGTTTGGTCATTCATAGAGAGATCCTTCTGCTGCATTGAACCCACTCAGGCATTGATGAGATCATTTTAGTCTCATAACCTCACCCTAGCAAAACTATGTTTGTTCAAACAATGCATCATTTGATCCACTTGGTAAAAAGCTTAATGAATGTGAAAGAGTTGAGAGAGAGAAAAACTTGTGGAGATTCCTTGTTGAGTTGATATATATCTGAGTATGGCTTTGCATTGCATAATTGAGCATGAACTTGAATTCTCATTGTGATCACTTCTCTCAAAAAGGAAATGTGAACTCCCATGCATTCAACCTCTTTCTCTCATTTGTTCTTGTTTGCTTGAGGACAAGCAAAGGACAACTGTGGGGGAGTTGATATGTTCATAATTTGCATCATTTAGGTTGCATAATTCATTCTAAATCATGTTTTATTCCATGCATTTTAAGTCCTTAGGGTTTTTTTTAGAACTTAGGAGATGCATTAGGTCCCAATGAGTCTTTGCATATTTTGAGTGTTTATGAGGTGTTTTTGGAGCTGAAAAGATGAATCCAGGAGGTGGAATGGTGATCAAAACTTGAAAAGTGGCAAATTTGGGTTTTTGGAGGTTATCGGCCATTCTCGCCCACCAGGAAGGTTTTTACCGGCCATTTTCATGTACCGCGGGTAGACCTTATCAGCCAAAACTCGTACCGCGAGTAGACATTATCGGCCAAAATCTCCGGGTGTAGACACGTTTCCGAAATCGCCTGTCCGGGGAACCTTCCGGTCCGATTCAGATGGCGGGTGCTTCATAGAAGTTGGAGAGGATTGGAGCACGGTTTCATAGCAAGTGGAATCAAGGAATTCGGACGCGTGAGCAGAGAGTTAAGCTCGTCGGAAGAAACCCCTGTCTCGCTGCTGTTTTGAACCAAGCCGATGAGCTTTAAAGAATGCGAAGGACGGTGTACTTCCAGGTCGATTCAGTTTCCGGGGCCTTCATGAGAATCAGAGACAATTGAGTCTTCTTTCCAGAACGTCCGAGATCATTCAATTCGGAGCTATGAGCAGGAAGTTACGGTCTCCGGAATGGACACATGTCTAGGCGCCTCTCTCTGTTCGTGTAAATGCACTGCAAAGATGTGCCCTCCAGAAAGCCTTCCACTTCCCAAGCTGCGTGGAAGTTACACTCTCCGGAATGCGAAGTGGTCCAAGCTGCTCTGAATGCTGCGAGATGGTCTTGGGACTTGGTTAACCCGCAGGCCTGAAGATGAATGCCTGAAAGCTGATGCTGCGAGTTGAGAAGTGCGGGTAAGCTATCACTGGATGAGTTCAGAAGTTCCCAAGCAAGAGAAATGCTAAGTCCACAATCGTGCTACTTAGGCATGCGAGTTAGCCGCGCCTGGAACTAAGCTGCACGATCACTCGCAAATCACTCCGACTTGAGCCTGCGACCTAGGTGCACTGGAAACCAACCCGCACATATGCACATTCCCCAGAAACCGCCTTGGACCTGCGAGTTGAAGAAGAAGAAGATCAAGCCGCAGTAACATTCGCAAAATACTCCTACTTGGGCGTGCGGCTAAGACAAGACGATCTAAGCCTCACAAGACAGGTTCTTCATTTACTGCGACTTGGGCATGCTACCTGGGACATACTGGACCAACCCGCAGTGATTCCTACTTTATCCATTAAAGCCGGGTCAGGACCCGGTTTGTTCCGGTCTGACCCGGTTCGTTTTTAGAGAAGTATAAATACTTTTTAGGATTTTTTCGGAGAAAACCAAGCTTTATTCCCTTTGTCTCTTGCATCTTTTGTGAAAAAGACTCCATTAAGAAGAGAAATATCGATTATTGAGTGTTTAATCAAGAGAGTTTAAGAGATTTTTGTGTTTAAGGCTGCTTTCTTCTGAATGTATCATCCATCTCTTCATCTATACACTTCTAATCATGATTAACAACACATCTTGCAAAGGATCTAGTGTGTTGATCATGATTAGTGAGTAATATCCATATTAAGGTCTTAGATATGTAGATTAGGGTGCTTAAGTGGTAGATTAGTGAGCTTAGGGGTTAGATCTTGCATATTCCATTCTCTACAACCTGTTTTTAATGCTAGATCCATACAAATCATATGTGGTCGAGATTCTGGGCATTTCATGCATCAAAAGTGTTTGATGAAATGCCTGAACCAAGGTTGTTAGAGGTTTAAGTGTTATTCATCATGGGAATGATTGTTTATATGCTTAAATGACAGATTAAACTGATTCTTAATGCTTGTTAACTCATGTTTCACTGATGATGATTGGGTTAGAAACTGTTTTAGCATCGGAGTTAATACCTTCATGAGAGGATTAACTTAATTAAAGAAGTTTATGTTGAATGGTTTGCTTGATCATATGATTCATTAGCTCATTAGTTTATTACTGAAGGCACCCTAATCCACTATCATGTCTAAGACCTTTCTCATTATCATTCATACATTCTCATCATTTGTCATTGTTTAGTTCTTGTTTAATCATTTCATTAGTCTTTAATCCTGTTTAAGTCTGTAGTTGTCTTTAGATAATCAAAACCACTCTTGTTTGCTTGAATTAAGAACCTGATTACATAGCTTAGTGTCTATCACCACATTCTTGGATTGATAAACCTCTTTGTGCTACTTTGACAAGGGGATTGATAGCCCTGAGACCTTAAAAAGTCTTGTCTATCACCAAAATCTCCATTGCTAGCTATATCAAGTGAAAGTTTGTATTTTGGTTGCAAACCTCGGTAAAATGTGCTCAGCAGGCTTGATCCAGGAAATCCATGGTGAGGGCAATCACGTTCATACTCCTTAAAACGTTCCCAGGCTTCATAGAAAGATTTAGTAATCGATCCTGCAGGCAAAGATTTCAACCAACGGTGAGCTTTGTCTGCTAATGAAAAAGGGAAAAACTTACACTTTAAATAGTCTGCTGGAACTTGGTTTGTTCTCATCATGCTGCAGATTTTTTTAAAGAGCTCGATATGGTCCATTGGGTGTTCAGAAGGAACCCCAAGGAATTGGTTTTGCTTCACCAATGAGATGATTTGAGGATTGACTTCAAACTCATTCCGGTTCGGAAATGGAACTTGAATTGCAGATCGGTTTTGAAAATTTTGAGTAGGTGCATCAAAATCAGCTATGCGATGGTTCCTGGCTTGTCTTCGGTGTTGATTTGCTGGCTGTACAGGGTGGTTAACGCGCCCATTCGGCTGCATTCCTTGGTGGTCACCATCGGCTGCATTGATGGGTGCATCAAAGTCTTCACGCTCTTCTCTCTCGCGGTTCTGGTGGTTTCTTGTAGGAACCTCATCCTCCTCTCCATCTTGTCGAGCATGATCACCTCCTCTGTGATCATTCTCTTCATTTTCTCCATGTTCGGACCCGTCTTGGTCCATATTTAAAGCTCGGTTAATAGGATCTCCAGGCTGGTCGTCGTTGGCCATTCCTTGCGTTTGTCTAAGTATTCGAAGTTCTCTTTCGTGTCTGTCTATCTCGTCTAGAATTGGAATGTTTTCTATAGGTCTGCGCTTGGTATTCATGCAATTCAGAAAAAACAAAAGAAGGGAAAGATAATTCAGCAAAACTTTAAGAAATAACTAGAGATCAGGTGTCTAGAACAGAAGTTAAAACAAGAAAATTAGCAAAAGGCAACAAACAAATCCCCGGCAACGGCACCAAAAACTTGATGTCGTGTCAACTGCGTGAGGGAACAAGTTTTACCCTTAACAAAAAAAATGAAAGCCGCAAGTGCACAGCTAATCAGTTGTAGTATTTAGGGATCGAATCCACAGAGATTTGTGTGCCTGGTATTCTTCTACGGTTTTTAACTTTATGTCTAGACTAGATTGGTTTTTAAAGGTTGGTTGTTTGTCACGAATTAAACTAAAACAAAAGAAAGCAAATAAATCTATCCTAGAAAGCAAGTAGAAAAATCGAATGGAAAGCAAGTAAAGCAAGTAAAATATCGAACTAAAGTAATTAAAATGCAGATCTAAATAAGCAAATAAAAATTGATTGGTTTGTAAACTATGACTAAAAACGCTAAGCTTTCGGGAACTCTAAGGGATCATAATCGGTTTTGATACTAGGGTAGATAGATTGGGATTGACGGATATTGATATATAGGTTGTTCTAGAGCTAGAGTACGGCGGTATGACTACGTCACTGTCGTGATCATAACCAACTGTTTCTCGCAACCCTGACCAATAGGTTTCCACTCTGGCCCTGGAAGGGAGAGTACGCCAGAGCTGCACAAGACTCGTCAATACTCACGATCTCGCCGCAGGTAGGTTTCCACTCCTACGGAAAAATCGCCTGTTTCATTCTAGGGCTGATACTTAATGAAAACTTTCGCAACACTAACTATCTAGATCAGATACTAGGTGATCAGTCAAGCATACATGCAATAAGAACAAGAATAAACAGAGAAATGGTCAAAATCCCAGATCTATAAACCTAGATGTCTTAATAGATTATGAGAGCCCCTTTCGAGAACCCTAAGCCCAACTCGGGATCTACTCAGACATGGCTGAGGTCGACATCATCATTGGTTTTAATAAAAGTAATGAAAAACAGTAAAGAACAGAGATGAAGAAAGCTTCTCTATTGAAGAACTCGGACTTGAACAATCTTCTGCAAAAATCGCATAAAAACGGCTAAAGGAAAAGAGTTTCTGTAAAGTATGAAGGGTTGTTGCTAAAAACGACCTAAATGACAAGTATTTATAGTCTTCAATACTCCATGGTCTCTAGGGTTCCGGAATTGAGGCTGAGAATGACTTTGGGCTTCAGAAATATGGGCTTTAGTTCGGAGCTTGATGGCCGCGTTCGGGAGTGACGTGACCGCGGGGATTAGGTGGTTGGCCACGGTCGGGAGGCTTCTGACCGCAGGAAATGGGCTGTTGGCCGCGGTCGCGTGACTTGCTGGCCGTCTTCGAGTGGCTCCGGGCCTAATGGAATATCTTGAGATCCAACCGTTGGAATGTCTCCAAACCAAGTGCATTTGAAAGATCGTTGATTCTTCTATAAGTTGTCCAATTTTGAGCGTAATCAGACGGTGAGAAGGTCTTCGTCTCTCCATGAGAGTTCTGACGGTCTGCATTTATCCAAAAGAGTCTTTTTGTTCCAATTTGTGCCTCTTTATCCCAAATTACCTGAAAAGTCTTTTAAAATCCGAAAACATAGAAATCCTTTGAAAACCTTTGGAAATGGAGTAAAAACACCTGTAAGAGATATTAAAGTGATCCATAAAAATGGTCAAAATCCGGTGTTTTCAACTCCCCTAGACTTAGTCTTTTGTTTGTCCTCAAACAAAACAAAGGCTAAATCTCGGCGAGAGGTTTGAAAACGCAGGAACTAAACAAAATCTCAGAGACCAAACTTCTAGACCAATATCAATCAATATGCATCAATCGGGAATAGTCTAGAAAATTCTCACTAGCAATACAGGCATAACTAGTCCGTTAATCCGTCATACGGAAATCTATGCACTAAGATCTAACTTCCAGTCAACTAGCTCTTAACATTCATTAAATATCTCGGTGGTTCTCATCAAAGAAAGTCTACGTAAGGCAATCTAGGCTAGGTGTCAAAAAGGATTATTCTAGGGGTAAGGCGTAAAGTGTTTACGGGTTACCTGAAGATCTGGAGGATGTAGGATATTATGCAAAACCGCAAGAGAGAGTGAAGCTGTTGGTATCCACAGTTTTCAGTCACTTGCCATAGATTCCTGGTCTTCTTCCTCAGGTTCTCTCCTAACTCCCCCAGACTTATATTTTTGTAAATCTTTCAAAACCATAGCTCCTTAAACGAATAATGGTTGCTTATTGCTCCATAAATTTCATCAATCCGAGATACTTAGTGGACTTGTGATCCAACTTTGTACTCTTTTTCCCCATCATTAGTTTTGCCCCAATGGGTTTTCTAGTGATGGGTTTTTAATGATGCAGAGTTGGATCACTTAAGTATCTAAGTCCACTAAGTCCAACACAAAAGAGTCGGCCATGAAGAGGAGCGTATGGAAGCATTTGAATTCAAACTTAGACAGCTTGCACTTGTAATTTTCAAGACATGTTTATTGTTTTGGCCGAGACTCTCTTCTACTTCTTTATATTCTCTTGTAATCTCATTTGAGAAACCATCTTATATTTTATCACAAAAATCTCTTTCTAAGTTAAGGTCAAATCTCTTGTTGGTGTGTAATATCCTTCAAGAACCTCGGTTCTCTTTGATTGGTGAGTCATATCCAGTGAGGAAAATTGAACCAAATTCATCAAAGGTCTTTCTGAAACCTTTGGAGTCTTATCAAGTCCACACGCCTTGAAACTTTTGTGTTTGCAAGGATTATGAGTTCCAATCCAGTGCTTGAGTGTGATATAGGGAGAGGATTCTATTGAGAATCACACCATGTTACTCTTTAGTCCAGACTTCAAAAGCAGATTAATTCATTCCCATGATAGAAATCCCTTTGCAAATTACTTAATCAAGACTAATTCCCATTAGTGAATAAGCAATCAACAAGCATAAGGTTTCAAGTCTAATAATGACCAGACAGTTTATTAAGAAATACTGAATCTTACACAGAAAGATATAACAAGCATCACATGATCTCAAATCCAATAAACATAGAACTATAAACTAGACTAATCCTCTCATGAAAGCATTAATCTCTATACTAATCCATTTTCAAACCAAATTCTCATTTTTGAAATATGAATCAGTAAGCTTTATGAATCAGCTCTAATATGTCATTTATGCATCTAACAAACATTCCCATGGTATTAATGCATAAAACCTTAAGTTAGCTCTTTCAGACATTTCATCAAATACCTTGTGGGTGGAAAAATGTCTAAGTTCTAGATCAAGCTTATAATGAGAGATCTAGCATTAAGAGCAGCTAACTAAGGAAAGGAAATGAAAATCTAGAACCTAAACATCATAAATAAAACATCAAAGCACCCTAATCTACAGACCTAGAAGCTTAAAAGAAGACTACTCACTAATTATGCTTAACACACCTAATCTTTTGCAGGAGGTGATGTTAATCATGATTAGAAGCAAAGATAAGAAGATGAAATGATAAAGAAACAACATTGATTAAATAAAAACGAGGTATCTGTTCCCAAAATCTGGGTTTACACAAAAGAGGCAAAGAAACTAAAGAAAGAATGAAACATCTTTAGGGTTTTTCCCCAAAAAAGTATACATTTTCCTGGCCAAGTCGCACGCCCAAGTCGGTCTTATTTGCGAACACATGTCCTAGATGGTTCCACTTCATGTCTAACTCGCACACCCAAGTCGCACAACTTTGTAGACTTAGCCAAATTTGATTATGGAAGTCTCTACCCTGCTCAGAGTCTCCTTACACGCATCTCTAAAGTCGCAGCTTGCTTCCATAGTATGAACATTCATGGGTGCGAGTTAACCAAGTCGCACACCCAAGTTGTAGCATTTCTCATTTTCTCGGACCACTCCGCGTTTGAGGCAGCATAACTTTTGGAATAATGTTCCAAATGACCTGATTCAAAATCCAGAGAGAATTCACCTCAATTACCTAGAACATTTCTGAAGACTGCGAGTGCATTTGGGGAGAAGAAGGGTTCCCAGACGGCTGATATTTGAAGTGCATTGTAGTGGTCCTAATTGGCTTCTAGACCTGCGTTCTTCTGATTGCAATATCTCCTAGCTTAGAACTCCAAATCTCCTGATTCAAAGCGTTTTGGAAACAAGACTCAATATTCTCAAACTTTTATGAAGACCCTGAAAGCCAGATCGGAAGGAAAGGCTTTCCAGTAACAGCGTCTTTGAGGCATATAGGGCTGCTCCAAATGCATTGATTCAAATCTGTTATGAGAACCTTGACTCAACTATCTTGATCTTTGCTGAA